ATCTATACGCATAAATTATAATATAGAGGTACATCAAATTGCCCTTTTCCAAATTTCTTTTTGTAACGGTATTGACATAGTTTTCATTACATATTTTTTTTATAGTTTTTATTTATTGAGAGTATCAATTCTTAATCAGTCCATTCAATTTACACCCCAAATAAACATCATATAAATCCATTTGAATAAACTATAGTAATATATTCCCAATAAAAATATATAAAAAATTATTCCTTCTAGACAAAAATAATAATAATAATATAATAAAATAAAATTCAATTTTCACCCCAAAAGAAACATCATATAAATCCATTTGAATAAACTATAGTAATATATTCCCAATAAAAAAAAAATCCTTCTAAAAAAAAAAATTAAACAAAAATATTCCAAAGGTGGACCCTTCCACACATGGGCCTTCACTAAGAGTTAAAATCTCTCCAACTCTTTGGGTTTTATATATATATATATATATATATATATATATAGACACACGCACAGAGGGAGAGAGAGAGAGAGAGAGAGAAAGAGAGAGAGAGATCAATCTGGTTGGCTAATAGAGAAAATGGGGTTACAAAACCAGCTCTCCGATATGTCATCTGAATCAATCATCGTACTCATGGCAGTACTAATCGGCAAGAGCGTACGTTATCTTCGCTCCGTTCTCTTCACTATTATGCACGGCATCGACCCGGCCGATTGCCACCATTCCGGCATCTCCATGTGCGATTTCGTCGGCTCTGGTCTGGCGGGGGTTGTCCTTCTATGCGAGCAGCTCAATCTCAATCCGGTCTGCTCGTACCCGTACAAATCGGACGAAGACGGTGGCGTTGACCACCGGTTCGGGTCGGATTGCGTGGTCTGCCTGAACCGGATGGGGGATGGGGACCGCCTGCGCAAGCTGGCCGCGTGCCGCCACGTTTTCCACAAGGATTGCATCGACGGCTGGCTCGGTCACCTCAACTTCGGCTGTCCACTCTGCCGCGCGCCGCTGGTGTCCGACGAGCGTGTTGACTACACGAGGAGGCGCGTGGCTGGTGATCTTCTGACTTGGTTCCCTTTACAATGACTCGTCTCCACGGCGCGTGGCGATAAATAATATGAGCTTTAATCAATTCTAAAGATGATGATGTGGATCTATTTTCTTTTTTCTTTTTCTTTTTCAATTTTGTGTTAAAGGCATTTTAGCAGTTTTGTTGACCTTTGACTTTTACCCCCCAGTTATTGGTAGTAATTTTTTGGGGGTTTCTATCTTCTGGTTTTTTTGAAGAGTTATTCTAGACTCTTTTAAAATCTTATTATTGTGTAAATTTTTCATCCTGTTTTGAATAAATAAATATAAACGGTGATTTGTATGTATTTCCCTGCATATCTTATTTTTTTTATTTGGTGTGTTCTCTTTTCTTGTGTAACTAGTGATGATATAGTTAAATGTTTATTTTTCCATTAGTAAAATATGTGTTGCTATGCACCCCTTCTTTAAATTTAGTAAGAATCGAACTCCCATCCTGCATATTGCAACTGTCACTACATAGTCTTTAGGTGGTTTGCAGGTAGAGGAACGTACACCTGATGAAATATACCATGTACTTTTACAATACTGATTTATACATAATAACACACACGCCCATATATATATGTGTATTTAGTGGATAATTATTTAGTTATATGCATGGTTTAAAACGACATGATGTATTTCACCAGGTATAGAATCTCATATGCTATTTGCCGTGTTTGAGGGCAAAGTTGACTAAATAGGTATAAAATCATGATTAATTGTGTTGGAGATATTAATACTAGATGATACATTTCACTAACAGCTTAAGCTTTTGGTTGAGATGGTCATTCAACATGGTATCAGAGCCAGGTCAAATGAAAGGTCCTGAGTTCGAATCCCACCGCCACCCAATTCAAATATTTCAAGTGCAAGGCTTCAAATGTAATTCCCCTGCACTTGAGGGGACGTGTTGGAGATATTAATACTAGATGATACATATCATATAATTCGCAAGTGAATTTTAATTTTTTTATAATTAGATATATAATTCGCAAGTGAATTTTAATTTTTTTATAATTAGATAGAGATGGTCAGATGGAGAAAAATGTTAAAAGGCAAATGCTCAGAAAAGACCAAATTAGAAGCGAATGTATTAAAAAAAATAATAAATAAAAGAATTGACAAAGAACAAATCATATATGTGTTCTTCTTTTTTCCCTTCTCTTAATTTTTATTGAGGATTTTATTTTTATGGGCTTTTTCCATCAGTGCCTTTTCTAGTCAACTTATTGGGGGTGCGGGGGCGATAACCCCTAGCGATGCGGTACACAACTTGTTACTTGCATGAAGAATATATGATAGGAGAAGAAAGAGTACTTTTCTAACTTCACAGCTAAAACTATGTCAACTATTTCGATTTCACTTACAGCCTGTTTCTTATATTTGGTATGGTATGGGTAGGAGTTCGTTCGATCCGAAAAGTTCTGATCACGGAACAGTTTTTTTCGTTGCGACTTCCGAAATTCTAAATTTTGAATTTGTTTTCGATTTTTTTGGATTGGAATTATATAAAAAAAAAATGAAATTTCCGATTCTCGATTCGATTTAATTTTCGAAATTAATTCTGATAATTTCCGATTTTTTTCCAAAAAATACACCTGTATATAATACATATTATATAATACTTATTTTAAGTTTTTTTTTTTTTTTTTGTTTTCTACAACAGTAATTTGATTTTGAGATTGTTTTAGGATTTTGACATACTGCATTGTTGTATGTTAGAAGTTTTATTGTATATTATGATGTGGTTTATTTTTTTAACTGAAATTTAATAGTTATTAGTTTTACTTTTATCGACGTGTTCTTATTTTTGAAACATTTTGCAATTTTTAGAAATCTCAAAAAATTTCCACTAGTTTTGAATTTTTAAATTCTTATTTAAAAAAAAATCCGAAAAGGCTAATTACGTTCCGATCTATTCAACTTGCACTCTAGGTACGGACTGCTTTCTGGTATGATAATAGATACAAAAGGTGAGACTTATTTTCATCCACAAATCAATTGCCTTTTTATTATGGGTCACTAATAAATATATATTAAATTTGTGTGGTAATTTAAATTTTTTTTTTTAAATGGTTTGATTTTCTCATGTTAGAGCACTAGACCATAGCAAAATGATTTTCTCAATTTACACATTTATAGGCCCACTAAAATGATTTTTCTATCTGCCTTTTGTATATTTGTACGTCAAATTTCATTTAAGCCCACAATCCTAATATGGATTTGTAAAAGCTGATTGTGTTATTTTCATAAATATGATCTTCATTTTTTTTTAAGTATAATCGAAACAAAATGCAATTTATATTTTATATAATTAACTTCCGTTTAATTTCAAAATATTATAATTTTGACACGAAAAGATTGCAAATTGATCGGCAACTGCCAAATAAGTTTTGTGCAGTTTTCTTTTTTTTTTTTTTTTTGAGAAAAAAACGTAGAGCTTTTATTTAGGCAGAAGCCAGACCATGCTGAAGGGAAAAACCTGCTCTACAAACCGAACCAAGTTTAGTGGCAGTATCATGTGCCAATTGGTTCCCACTTCGCTTGATAAACTGAAAATTACAATGAACAAAACTCTTAGCAATCGATAAGAATTCTTCTAGGAAAGCACCAAACGACGACAAAAGAGGATCGCCAAAGTTTAACGCTTGAATAACCTATAGACAATCGCTCTCCAATATGATCGAGGTCCACCCTTGAGTTTTGGCAGTGTTGATAGCTTCAAGGGCCGCATGCGCCTCACAATCAACCGCTTTAGGCTGTCCTGGATATCGACGAACCGCCCACCAATGACACTCTCCTTTTCTACCGCACGCAACCATTGAAACTGAGTAAAAACTCTCTCCTTGAGGAACCGCAGCATCAAAGTTTATCATAATAAAACCGTCCGGATATAAATACAAATAATTGTAGCATCTCATAAACCCTTGATCAAAGACTTCAAGGACAATATTGTAAATTTAAATAGATCATTAAATATTCTCAAAAGACTTCTAGAAAAAATCCTTCAACACATTAAAATTTTATATAATTAACTAACGACAAATTTGTCCGAATAATTTGCATTGGAAGAAAAATGTATGGAATAGTCAGTTTGAGGGGTAAATTGTTAATTACTTGTGATTAGGGGGGTGCTTGCTTTAAATCAAGAAATTTAAAGGGGGGTAAAAGTGCATTTATCTCTTAATTTGAAGTAGTTCATTAATGGTGTCTTAATAGCTGCATGTACAACTCTTAATTAGTTGCAGCGCAAGTCCCATCATATCATATCACTTCCCACTTCTCCAGGTGTAAAACTTGTGCCTTTATTTAAATTTTTCTTGGGAAAAATTATTCAAATAAGAAAAATTAAAATAAAACATATTAAATAGTTAATAATTTTTGAAATAAAATTTTGAACTTTAATTTATGTGAACTTATTCAACAAAAATTGATTAAGGTAAATTTGTAAAATTGAGACATTTCCGTGTACATACACATCCACTTAAAAAGAAACGAAATGAGAATTAATAAACATGTATGGAATAAAAGCAAAAGGAGAAAGGAAAATACTTTTAATTTTCTGATATTATAATTCAAGAGAGAGCAAATTACATAATTATATAGGTGTAAGAGATGCATGCCCAGCAGCACAACAACAATATAATATTCTACGAAACCCCACAACTTTTAACAATATTGCAAAACAACCACCAATTAAACTAAACTCTTACTCCCACCACCGGCCAACAAACTTTTTACTACACATGAAGCTTTAGTATGCATCTCTTACATCCCATGCTTTATCTCATAATAATAATAATAATAATAATAAAATTAAAAAAAAAAAAAAGATAAAAGATGAAAATACGAAGTTAAATATGGAATTACATGACCTAATTAAGTTGATCATAATATTCGGACCGCTACCCTCAATTCCCCGCGATGCAATAATAGCGATCTCCCGATTCTGCCCCTATAGGCTAAGAACTCGGGAGATCGAAATATTGCAAAGCTGTTTTTTCTTTTTTGTATAATATGGCTTCCACATTCTACATTTCCACCACCAACCGCCGCCACCGTCTCCTCCTTACTCCTCCGCCGTAGCCACCGTGTGAGCCACCAACCATATCCTTATAAATTAAAAAAGTGTCAAGAATTTGGCCAAGTTAGAAATAAAAGTTAACTATAGAAAAGTGGGAGTAGCTAGATATATATATGCATATGAGGAAGAAACATTGTTAGCCATTTATAGTGGCATCAAGACTGCAAATCTTTATTACATCTTTCACACACACACACACACACACACACTTATCTCTCCTCCTTTCTCTCTCTCTCTTCAATCTGTATGTATACGTATATGTTTGTGTAAGTATAGATAAAGACATGCGTAGAATATAGAAATAATATAGTTGGTGTTGAAATTGTAGTCTTCCAGGTAGGGTTAAGGGCATGTTTGTGGAATTAATTAGGGAAAATTACGGCCAACCCCTTACGATATGACTAAATTACGAATTTTTATCCCTCTTGTTTGTGTAATTAGATTCAACCCCCTCCTTTTAAATATTTGTACGTCAAATTTTTGTAATTCGGTTATTTAACAAACCAAATCGTATATTCAGTTCAGATAACAGTATAAAATGTTGTCGTACTGAAATTTCGCTTCGAGTTTACTAAATTAACCTCCCTAAATTTTTCTATGGAGGAATATTTCCGTAAGATAATACATAGTTGAGGGGTGACTATAATTACCCAAACAAGATGGGGGTTTTTGTAATTTGACCATAATTCAGGGTGTGGCCGTAATTTGGCGAATTAATTAAAATAGCTCCACTATCTAGCTCGAATTCCAATGGGGTTGGAGTTTTGCAAATGGGGGAGTGTGAACGTGGCTGGCTAAACTTCACTTTTTGTGCACAAATATTTGTGATTTCCAACCCATCGCTCTCACATCAAGACAAAGGTGTGTTCATCAACTACTTTTCAGTTTTATTACCTCATTATTGATTTTTCATTACAAGCGTGTGTGT